TTCTTCGCTGGCCTTTAGTGGTTTTCTGGTGATGCTAACTGTAATTGCTTGATAACACCTTAAAAAAAAAAAACAGACAAAAAGCCCTGATGAAATGGCAGTAACCCCGAGCAGAACCTCTGGGTGTTGAAACCTGCTCGGTGTCATGAACATTAGCAGTGATTTTCCATCTGTTTGTTCAAGAATCTTTTGTTAACCAGAAAGCCGTGTGGCGGTGTGGAGGGTTGGCATCTCCTCTGCTACTCCAGGATTATCACTGTTTCTGCAATAATGTGATACTCTCTTATTGGTCATTTCCCCGAGCCTGGCACTCACGGCGATGTGCTTTGGATGCAGCTGATGCAGGAATAAAATCCTTTCATGTAGATATGAAGTTTCGCTTTAGAACAGAGTTAGTGGAAAAATAAAACCAGCGTACTATGAGGCCATAACGAGACGTTAAATTTGCTTTTTAGGTGTCATCTGCACCGGCGCTGAGAGGATTAGGAAAACGGTGTCATTTATCAAACAAAGCACAGAATCCTGCTTGATTCTACTGTGACAGGATTTTATGTGATTGTTCATTTACTTGCAAAACAGTTGGAGACAAAAAATAAAAATAAAAATGTAATGGCAATTTATCACCTGATGCTTTTCACTATTTTCTTGCATTTCATGGATTAAATGTTTAATTGATTGATCAAATACCAAATCGGTAAAACTTTACAGTATTTACATCTTAATGCTCCAGTGCTTAGAATAACTTGGAGAGGAACTAAAAAAAATCAGTAAAACAGCATTGAGACGGTGAGGTTCAGGTTGTAGTGGCGACCGTTTCTTTCAAACCGCTGTCATGAGTTTGTCTCTGTAGGGCGACCGTGGGTGGAGCTGGGCCGGGCCCTCCTTCAGCTGATTGTCATCTGGTACAGACTCTAAAGTGAGATCATGTCTTGCTCATCTAAGCACACACCACACTGCTGCTGCTGCTGCTGCTGCTGGCCGACTGAAAAATAAACCAGTTGAATCAAAGCCTGATTTCTGTGGACGTTTTGTCACAAGCCCGAGCCACTCGTAACAAAAATGGGGGCTCGTCTGGGATTAGAACCAGGACCTCTCGCAATCAACCAGCCCTGAAAAATGCATGGTACTGGAGGCCCGGCAACCACGCCTGGGGCAGGAGCCGGGGGTGGAGCCTGTGAGTGCCGACCACGGTGGAAGTAAAATATTCAAAGGAGAATTTTTAAGGCCAAAGTGGGGAAGGGCTCCATGAGAGCTGAATATGGGTCAGTCGGTCTGAAACAATGAGCGAATGTGCTCAGGAGTGCAGGGCGATGGTCACCTTCAGCTGATGGAAGAGGAATCAGAGCTCTTAACCTGGAGGGCCCATCAGACTTTAAAAAAATAAAATAAAAGGAAGAAAGAAAGAGAGAGGGAGTCCACACAAATTAACCATGATTCAGAAATAAATTACACATCAGCAAGTGAGTGGTCCAGTGTGTGCTTGGGTGAGTGAGGCCTGAATGTGCCTCGGAGCGGTCTAGGAACCAGTCATGTAGAGGAAATAACAGGGACCAGACACTGTCCAGGTCTGCTCCTTTTAAACTGGAGGAGGATCCGCCCCAGATAACCATCCACAGGCTCCTCGTAGCCCAACCTGCCGGGTGTCACACAAAGAGGAAGGTCGTCACACGGCGTTTACATCCGATGTTTTGGACATAATGTGCTTTTTGTTATGTCGCTCACAGCATGAGTTTGTGGAGGGAAAAAATGGGGATTGAGGGAAAGGACAAGGTATTTGAAAACACACCCTTTTTCTGTGCGCCGTCTCAGGCCGCTCCTTCCAGGGTGAAGCTCTCCAGACACTGTGTTGTCAGAGTCGATGTGTAGACGAGGAACATCTGAGCTTTTTGTTCGTGGAGTCAGAGTTTGTGGCATCATCTCCTTATGTCCAGTGGCCAAAGTAGTTCTGTCACTAACAAGACTGTTTACACGTGAATTATACTGAACATTAGCTCCATCAGTGCACACGTACGGTTCCTTAATATGTCATCGTTGGTAACCTCTCGGAACCGCTTCTAACTTGCCAACATGGCTTTAGGGTTACGGTTTCAAATGTGTTTTTACGTTTTCAGGGGAAAGATTTTGTAAAACTTACCCTGTGTGGACGTTTTTTTGAGAACCTAAAGAGCCTAGTTTTATAAATAACCACGTAAACCGGGCCTAGCATTCCTTGCCGGAACCACCGCAGCACAGCAGGCGTGATCTTTGTCAAACTTTCCCTCATGTCACACTGTACAGCTTCCCTGCAATTACAAAGGTTGCACAGCTGAATCATAGCTGACGTTGAGCAGCACAGGATGTGTCAGCGCTGAGAGAGAGGGCAGCACATTTTTATACCTCTTTTTTTTTTTTACAAGGTAATATGAGGCAACTTGAAGAGGCACAAATATGCAAAAGAGCCTGAATCACTGCCGCATCATCGGTGACACAGAAACAGTCTTAAAAAAATGATGACAACATATGCCAAAGTCACGAAAAACATGAACGTGAAGGAACCGTCGTTATTGGTAGATCCTAACCAACACTGACTCAAACAGGCTTCGCAGGAGATTGTGTTGAGCGCAGGACAGGCTCCTCTCTGACCGCTGGCTTGATTTATCAACGCTAATGTCACCAAAAACCAAACATTATGAGCCTCATCAGTCTGTGTACAGCAGGACAATTTTAATTCACTAAAAGATGTCTCAGCTGTCTGCGCAGCCCTTTGCTGAATGCTGGTTTTTCCTCCTGAAACATTTGCCAACCAGACTTCACAGACCCGCTGTAGCAAGCTGACCACTGATGATAACAGCAGCACGCTTTGTTGTTGCATATGTATGAAGAATTTAAATGTAATTTGCCATCTTTCAGAGGAATTAATGAAAAAAAAACAGTTATTTTATGCTGTTTAAAGGCTATAAATGCTCTGTCCAAGCCTTCAGATGCATTCTGTTTGGTTTGTTCTGCCATGTTATGTTATCTGTGCACTCCCATAGCGTTTCTAGACACCTGTTCCTTAATATAAGTAGCAGAGATGTCACTGTCCTGTATGACCTCCTCTGCCGGGCTGCAGTGTTCGCCCCCGGCCAAGTGTTTCCTCACAGATGATGCTTCAGTGGGTGCAGCTGAGGGTCCCTGTCAACCAAAAATCTCCCTGAATTTCATACACCGTGGAGACCTGTTGACGTGTGTGCTTCTATGTGCCATGAATTTTTATTTTGTCTGTAAAAGAAAAGCTAAAAAAATTTGAATAATTGAGGAGATAAAAAAAAAAAAGAAAGGCTGTGAGGGAGGTGGCTGAGTTCACCTCTGCACTGCTGCAGCACTCACCGTCTGCATTTGGCCACAGCTCTTTGACATACCTTTCGGAAACTTGTGCCACCGTTACATCGGGCGACTGAGGTGCTTTTTTGTGTGTTGGCCCCGGTGTAGTCACCATGGCAACTGTGTCTGAGGAGCAAGTGACACCGGAGGAGAGAAAGTACCTCAGTTCACTTTGATGGAAGAGTGTAATTTTTATTTTTTTTTGCACTCGCAGACGGAACAATATTATTTGTCACCACGCAGCCGGTGACATTAACACCCTCAGTTAGCGTCTCAGCCTTTGTTGTTAAAGCAGCCTCCTGAATTTGGCCTGAAAAGCTGGAGTTTAAATAAATCTGTGATATACTGTCCTGTGATATATTTAAGCTACAGATGAAATGGCACGACCATTATTACATCATTAAATATTAAGTCTCCCATATCCTCTCCTCCTCGTTATTCAGCTGCTTTATTTAAAAATCTAAGACTTCTTGCCATTTTTATTAAAACTGATGCCAGAACTGATTGGGTCCTGCAGTACCACATGACTGATTAGTGTTTTTAGCCAATCAATATGTTTTAAAAAAATATATATTTTCCTTTTGGATTTTTCTTCAAATGTTAAAAAACAAAACAAAACACTATTATCTTGCAAATTCCAGTGTCAGAGATGATTGAATTGTGTGTTTATGAGACTAAACAGAGCTGCAGAGATCCGCTTTATTTCATTTGCCGCGGGACTGAATGTATGAGCTGTCTTTCACAATTGATTTTTATTTCTTTGAGTTACAGATATCGATCGCATCGCTTGCTGCAACATGATGCTCTGCATCGATGTGCTCTCCTCGTCGTTTTAACGTCTCTGCGTGTACGTGGGATACGCTATAGGCTAATTAATAAACCCGCTTTCCAAACAACACTTTCTGTTTCTCCCCCGCAGAAGAACCGATCAGCTGGGATCGCACTCGCATAAACTGCTAATTGGCTCCGTGCTGCACATCGTTACTGGATGCACAGAGTCTACAACTAATTAAAAACAATGGCATTTGAATGATTGGACCTCAGCATGTATGTTTCCTCAAACATTTTAACATGGACGCCATCCGTTCTGCCAAAGCAAGCAGCCGTCTGTGGTCAGAGCAGACAAATGTGATGTGAGATATACGCTCACTCCTGTGTTTTAATTAGTCTGTTATTTAGCTGATGTATTGTGAGGCCGTAAAGCTGTCTCTACTTCCAGTAGTAAGTGTTGGCCAGTGGGAAATCCAGGATGATGCTGGGAAATTCCTGTGGGCCATTTGAGATTGGAGTCACATAAATTGGGGCAGTTTGCTGCTGACGTTGACTAATACAGTCGTAAAGCCAACAGAATAATGTCTCCTTCTATCTGCATTCTAGTGTTCTCCAGATCGGATCTGTTTGTCTTAATTGTCTGCGTGAAATACACTGTTTATTTATTTTTTAAGGTGTATGCATTGCTTTCATCTGACACGTACAAATCGCTGGTGTTCGTCTAACGGATGCTTCTCTCCTGTTTCCTCAGATCTGACTTTGATGTGCTCCACCTATTCAGACATGATATAAGTCACCCATGTGCGCTTCTAAGAGTCAGAGCAGTCTCATTTCAGCACGCCCCTGTTAAAGGACCCTCTGGTGGCCACACCGCCGAATCACAGGTCATGTACGGCAGTGCCAGAGCTGTAGGCCATGTAGAGAGCAGCCCCGTACGGTCCCCGCGCCTGCCGAGGTCCCCCAGATTGGGCCATAGAAGGGCGAACAGCGGGAGCGGGGGTGGTGCGGGGGGCAAGACGCTCTCCATGGAGAACATCCAGTCCCTCAACGCTGCCTATGCTACTTCGGGGCCCATGTACCTGAGCGACCACGAGGGCGTGGGCTCCACTGCCACCTACCCAAAAGGCACCATGACTCTGGGTCGCGCCACCAGCCGGGCCATGTACGGGGGCCGCGTCACAGCCATGGGCAGCAGTCCCAATATCGCTTCAGTGGGGCTGCCTCATGCTGACCTTCTGTCTTACAGTGACCTGGGCTCCCTCTCCATGCTGCACCCCCACCACCACCAGGGGGTGCCCTCCGCTCTGCTCAGGCAGGCTGTGCGGGGCAGTGGTGGGGAGCTGCTGGAGATGCAGGCCCAGCTCAGGGAGATGCAGAGGGAGAATGAGATGCTGCGACGAGAGCTTGACCTGAAGGACAGTAAGTTGGGATCTTCCACCAACAGCATCAAGAGTTTCTGGAGTCCTGAGCTGAAGAAGGAGAGGATAATGAGGAAAGAGGAGGCGGCTCGCACGTCAATCCTGAAAGAGCAGATGAGGGTCACTCACGAGGAGAACCAGGTGAGAACGGACCTCTGAGCCGTCATCGTTCACTCATTACTGCCGAGAATTTCAGTTGCTGCTTGTCTGTCGTCTTTCTGTTTGTTCAAGTACTGTCCGTTTTGATCTCTGCTTCCACCATTGCTGGTTTTGGCAATAGACCACGGTCGTCCTCAGTCCAAGAACTCAGAGAATTATTGCAGTCGGTCGTGTTTTTCAATACTTGTGGAGACCTTTCTGGAAAGAGTTCTTTGTGTACATAAATATTTAACACACGCCTTCCTCGCCTCGTACTCCGGTGCAGAATCAATGTCACTTCAGCCACAGGAAACACAAAACCCCTTTGGTCTAGTTCTTGACAATATGGTTGAAATCTGAGCTTCCTCTTGTCTGTGATTAAGTGAAAAGCATGATGGTACTGCCAAGAGGTGAAGTGAACTTTGCTGTGCACAGGACGGCTGCAACGTTGCTTAATTCTAGCTTATTTTCAAAGGTTCAGCAGATTGGCCCTAGAGGGGGAGACGTCAAAGGTTTTTTTTTTTTTTTTGCTTGCCTCAGTGTGGGGGTGTAGTCATGGCCCAGTTAAATCAGTTACTGACAAGAGTAGGCACAAGGCCCACAGACAAATGTCAAGGACACTTAAACACTCCCTGTATGTCTTACTCTCTGGCCGTCTCTCTCCTTTTCCACCGTCTTTCCTTTATTTGCTCTGACTTTGATCATCTCTCACTGTTTGCTTCCGTTCTCTTCACCACATGCAGTGCAGCAGATCCCTCGACTGTTTTCAGTTCTGACTAAATCAAGAAAAACGCCAATTGGCAGCTGTGGTCTTCGTTTTAATTAACCTACTTCTCCAGTGCACAAAATTCAACTGGAAATAATGTGGATATAAAAACACACACAAATAAAAGCAGCTGAACATCACTCACTGCACTTGTGTTCAGTTTGAAAGATGTTGTCTGTGTCATCGTGATTTTAACGATTTTCATGTCAAACCTCAGTAGCGGGATTACAAACGGCCGGCTGACTCACAGCGCAGACGGAGCATTTGGATAAAAAGCTCTTGGTTTCGCTGGATATGTCAGCTGCAAGAGAAAGTGCATGACACACCGAGGTAGACCGTGGAATAGGTCAGCGTATTGCTTGACTGGCTAGATTGAACGCTACCGTGATTTTTTTTTTTTTTCTTTGTTCCTTTTTGAGGCCGGCTGTGTGGCATGATGCAGCAAATTGAACGACGCCTCCGGCAATGTAAAGGCTGAATTTTGCCAGCTGGTTGTGGTTCTTTGCGCCACAGTTTGTCTGTCTGGTGATGTTTTCAGACTCTGAGCAGCCAGTAGGCCGGTCATTACTCAAAGTGGCAGACGCTGTCGCTCCACTCCTCAAGGTCATCGCAGGATACCATTAGTGGGACCGTCACATGAGACCTCTGTCTGCACGTCTGCTTGGATTTGTGCATAGCAACACCCCCAGTAGTTTTGACTTACCTGATTCTTTTTGTGGCGTGCACATTGATGGCTCATCGCCTGCACTTTTAAAGCACGACTTCATCTGCTGGTGACCAAATGTGGTTTCTTTTATATCCTTATGATTCATAAACCAGCGTAGGGACAGTGTTTGGGAGGAGGACGTGCCTGATGGAGCCACTGACGGGGTCAAAGTGATTCATCATTGCACTTATTCTTTACGTTCGGTGCCATTAAACACTCAAGCATGAATCCTTTTATATATTTTTAGCTTGGCTTCATGCATTGTAGCTGAATGTGTCCAGCAGAATTGAAAGCTCCACAGTGTGGGCTTTTATGCCTTTGTACCTGATACAAAGAGAGGACTCTTTTTTTTTTTCACATCTCCAGCCTTGTCCAGTGTTCACTCTGCCTCTGCGCTGAATGATATTTATATCCCTCCTGGTAGGGTTCATTAATGAAGTATGTCAGCTAATAAAAGGCAGATGTGCCTTGTTACTATAATTGGTCTTTTTCTAACTTGATTTCTGGGCTGCGAGGCGTCCTTACATAAGTGTATACTTACGGTGGGGTGGTTTGGTCACACCCATTGGGCTTGTTGAGAGGCTGACTGAGGAGCAAATTGCCTCATTAATAATGGAGTAATTTCAGGCCAATCATTACATCTGTCTTGTAGCACCCTTTGCAGTTGCATCAGGTGCCTCAGGCTTCTATTAGCTTGAGCAAATGCCATGCATTATTTATCTTGCGAAAATTAAGATCTGGGAATATGTGCTTCTTTTTACAACATCTTCAGAAAAGAGGAGAACAATCCGGGCATTGTGGAGTTTGTCTTTCACGTGTCCTGTAAAGCACAGGCTCCACTGTGAGTGAAATACCAACCGTAGCCTGCAGAGCTTTAATCAAGGCAGTCGATGGTCATGACCGGCGGTAATGATTAGCCTGGAACTGTTTTACATGCTGCATTTTTAATCTACCATGCTTCTTGCTCAGCAGGCTGCTGTAACGCCGATCTGTTTGAGTCGAATTCAGCCGAATTGTTTGTCGTGCTGAAGCTGGACAGGAGCTGCTGGAGGCGAGTGTGTGAGCTAGAGCGTACCATATCTGACTGAGTCATGACCACTGCTGCTCAGCCACCCAGTCAGCCCTCATCAACGCATTCCACAAAAATGGAGGCTGAGCTTCCCGTATCACTGTCTGCGCACGGGTACGATTCCTTACTGTACGCTGCCAATTGTTACGTGCTGCTAAGCGTTCACAGTGTGAAGATGCGGGAGGGGGGAGCACGGCGGTGTGTCATCAAAGTGCTGCGGGTCGGCTCTATTCTGAGCAAACTGTGAATAAGCATTCATGCTTGTGTGCACCATACAGTCAGCCAGTGTGTGCAGATGGAGATGTTTGCATTTTAGATTAGCCGTTACTTCCCTTTGTAGTTGTGCAGAGCCTTTATCATCACCACCAGCCTGCATTGTGTGCAGTCACGGTTATTCGTTTGCACACATGATCAGGTGAACATCGGGTGCATTAGTGCTCCATGTTGCCCTGACATTTGACTCCCTTCACTCAGTGGCAAAGAAGCTTGCAGCAGCCGCACATGCACGATGAGCAGGAGTATTGATGTTTGTCGTCATGATGTGACTCGTTGAGCTCAGGTAGCGTCATGTGAGTAGTCCCTCAGCTTAAAGTGGCTCCTTCCTGTGACAAACACCCTCCATCGACGCACATAAGATGGCTGCTGCTTCATCCACATGACGGGAAGGTGTTGAAACGAGGAGTCTCCCTCCTCATTTTATCTAGACAAGACGAGATTAAAATGCAGAGAAGCAGGGAAACGTTTACAGAGAGCAAGGCTGGTGAGATTAAGATGGGAGTGGAGGATAGAAGAATAAAGCAGAGGGGATAAGACACGTTACAGTCTGTTGGTGTCGCTTCCTCCAACACAGCACAAGTTTACGTTCAGATCAGAGCAGCGACAACAGAAATGTCCTTCTCAGCGAGTGAATTAAGAATCCGATACTAAAAATGCACTCATCTTTGAGCCACAGAATATAACAGAGACAAAGTGCTGGTTTAAACTTCATGTAAGCTTCTTAAAACACAGTATTTCAACACATTATACTGAAATGCTGCACAACAGCACAAATTATCAGTGTTAGGAAAAGTGGCAAATTTGCAGCTTTGCTTCTTTTCAGGCAAATCAAAGACTGATCTTATATATTTATCGTAACTGTAATTTGATATATGTTTATTTGAATGGTTTATTGATTACCTGTGATGGTGGAGTGACTGTCTGGGTTTTATGCAAAA